AGACACTGAGTGGGAGTAGGTTGCGACTTGTCAAGGTTTATGAGGAACCCTAGAATTGTGACCTCGGTTGCAGACCTTCCAACAATGAGCCAGTCGTGCAGGTACTGAATGATGTATGTATACGGATGTATCGTTCATGGAGGTAAGCCATGACAGACGTGACGATGCGCATGAAACCCTGAGGGGCATTGAAAGGCCAAAGGGAAGTGCCACGAAATCGAGGGTTATGGTATATGAAGCGGAGGAACGTGTCCTTCAGATCCACTATAGAGGCCCATCAGCAGAGACTGAGTGACTGTTCACAAGGTCTCCAAGTAAAAGTGCTGCAGGCGGATGAAACTGTTCAGTGGCTTAAGGTTGAAGATTAGGCGCTAGATGTTTGGCTCATTCTTTGGGGTGAGGGGGAATGTTGAAACAAACCTGTCACGAGATGGGAGAGAGAATGGGGCGATGGCTTGTTTCTGAAGAAGGGAACTGATTTCCAAATCCAGGGTCCGGCATTGGGTAAAGTTCAAGGGGATCGGAGTCGGGTGTAGGTGCGGGTAGGACAGAAGGGCGCTCGTGAATTTGAGGGAGTAGCCAAAGGAGATCATATTGAGGATGCATCTGTCCAACATGATTTGCAACTTGCCATGACTTGACTAATTTGACCTTATGATGATCGTTTGTTAAAAAAATAAACACACTTTTTGATGTCCACACATAATCGGTTGGAAAGAATGCATGGTCAACGCCAACCCCATTTACTGTAGGCTTATCAATGCGAAAGCAGGCTGCTTGGTTAACATTGTCAGTGTGTTGCGTGGCGGGCCGGGTCAGCGCGTGCGGGCTACACGCTGCGATCTCCATGAGGCTTAACTAGGCATGCGTGTTCTTAGACACTGCATCATTCATTGTATCAAACAGAGCGATTATTCTTTATACTGTATACATGCACATCATCTAAAAGCATCATAAGAGCAGCAAAAGAAACTTCTTCAAATGGCTGGAAAAGAACTGTACATGTACTACCCCACACTTGTAACATGAGTGTAGCAAGAATTCTTACTATTTGAAAAAAAACAAAACTGGGGATATTTGTGTACTACTCCTAAAATATTCAACACGATGCAAAAAAACTTGTCTGTTTTTAATCATTATACGTGTACATTTTAGACTATGCAAAATGAAAACAAGGTACCATTAAACAACATTTGCGAATTATGAGATGTTCACATTTTTAATTCTCCCTATGTGCCGCTTATGACTCCAGTCCCGGCTTTCAAGCAAGCCTGGTGGCTACATGTATGTGACCGAACTGAAGGAAGCTTTGCATACTGCAGCTATTAAAAGCCTGACTGCTGCCGTCTGCCCAATTGCAGCACTTGCACACTGCTCAAGATTACTGTCCAGTCACAGCCCATGTTTATAATGGACATGCGTTCCCATAGCGGTGCTGGGAATGAGCTTGCTAAATCTCACTTGAATTTTGAAAAGTGCAAAAAAGGAAAAACAAGGGAAAGAAAAGACAAAAACACAAAAAATTCTTTTTAAGATTTAGTTTTACACTTGAACGTTTCAAAACGCAAAATCATTTGGCCAAACAGGAACCCCCCCCAGGCTGGCCAGAGCCGGCCAAGTTGGAGAGCAAGGTACTTGTGCATCTCTCCACAGAGTGTGTGAAAGAAACAAACAACATGAAAGAATTGTCACAAAAAGTGCACAGTGTTGGTGGTACACAGACTTGGTTACAATACCGGATTTTTCCCTTTAGACTGATTTAAAGCGCTGCTGCTTCGCAGTGTTGGAGAACCATTGGCACGAACTGCACCTGTCCAATCATCCATCTCAAGTTATTGTGTGCATAGTCACTGATAATTTTTAGGTAACACGAGCCATGGTAAAGTGATCCACACTGATTATGAGACAATATGTTCTAAACTTGTTGAGAAGTGCATATCAAGTGATGTACAACTGCTGTGATGTTGCGAAATTATCTGTTGTCTTTCTCCAATGTATAGTTTGAGGAGAGATTTGAAACCTAAGTAGATTTTACTGCTTTCCATTTTTATAATGCGAGTCAGGCTGTAATTAAAATGTAATTTAAGCCTCGTTATTTATTTTGTTTGTATTATTTTATAGCAAGTGTCAGTAGGTAGCTGTAGACAGTAAATGGAATTTTCAAATGCTACTAAAATGTAATGCAAGTCACCATGGGAAATGTCTGACACCTGCATATTAGCTTTAACTATTCCCTAACCCCCTAGGATGTATGTAAAATCATATTGAAATTGGAGGATTTGGGACTGTTAGGGATGGCTATTTGCACTGTACGGACACCTGTTTCTCAGGTACATACATGTACATTGTACATGTATGTCTACAAGGAAAACCAAGCTTGCACACATGCACTTGTTTTGTAATTGTGGTGAGCGCACACTAAGTCTTGTTGAACGCTGGATAAAATTGCTATGGGGATACAAGAAAATTTGTATTACCAAAAGGAATATGGTTTCTCAAGTTAAGGCTGGCCAGGCCACACGCACACACAGGTCTTTCTTTTAAATAGGGGGCCATATGTGTGACATAGTGGTCAAAATTTCAAAATTGTCTAAACAAATTCAAAACTTGTTGATATGTAATTGATAATACATTCACACAATAAATGTAAATGATTTTTGCTTTGAATAACTACTTGAAGTGTACAGACTCAATTTGTGCAGTGGTGCAGGAAATTATTTGACGTGTAACAAAGAAACCAAATATGATGGTTCTATGCATGTCATTTTTGGTTAGTAAAGGTTTCTTTTCAACTGTTGACAACTTTTTTGTGTACATTCCATGTATTCTCATCACAAGTTGTTTTTTCTAAATAGGGTTTCAGGTGGCATAAAATGAGCAAAAATTTTCCCCTAAAATTCACTTGTTGACTATTTTTTTTAATTATTTTGAAAAGTTCTGTTTGGTTTAACACAAAGTTGCTTTAATAGCAAATATATGGCACAGCTCATAGGTATGCATGCCATTTAGCTTGTGCACCTTTGCCAGAAACAGTGTTTTGAAGTTTTTAGTTTGAAGAGTTTCATGACTCATTTCACATGTAACAGAGAAACCGGTTTCTCTGTTACACATGGGAAAACTGTCACAATACAAACATTAGTTTACACTGGGAACTGCATTAGATTTTGTTGTAACAATGGCAACAACATTTCATGTCTGTAGTCAATGAATAATGATTTCAAATAAATTAGGGATACAAAGATACTATAAAACCTGTTCATATTTCCGATGAATGGGAATTAATGCGAAGCAATTTGGAGGTCATAAAGCATTACAATTGTCACCAAACATTGCACATATTGCAGTGGGTTCGACATTTGTGAATAAAAAAAAAGAAACCTTTGATAATGAAAATGAAGAAAACTAAGGATTGGGGCATAAAAAAGAATTCTTTTCAAAGGAGAATCTTATATCTAAAGTGCTGTTATTGACGAGATTGGACTGTTATGACTGAATGGGTATAAAAACTTGTCACACACCCACTACTGGTCTACTTGAAAGTTAAAAACACAACTTCTGTCTTTACTGGATAATGAAGAAAATTTCAAAGAATTCAGAGTTGCAGAGATACATGTACATGTACTTAGATGCCAGTTCACATTTTTATTGAAGTGGAATGCGAAGAAAGTTTGATGTCACGAAGCGTTTGTACCTAAAAGTTCAACAAAATCCCCAAGTCCAATTTTGTGATTTGAAACGTGTGCTAATGTATGTTGATGACATCACAGTGCGCCGGCCTTGTGGAACATTCACAAAAATAGTACCTGCATGCCGAGTCGGGGCAGCACACCTGTGCCGGTGACTGTTTCCCGAGAGGTGTAATGTGCATTGCACCGTGTCCATGTGGTCACTGTCACCAAACGTTCCGCTGCTCACAAGACAGTCACCAGCGCACGTGTACCGACTTGACACGCCATGCTGTGAATGGACTGCTAGGCCGGCATGTCATGAAATTGTTAGGTAAACTCGCAAAATGAAAAATGGTGACTTCCAGCTCAAGGACAAGCGTGTCCAATTCGAAGGGGAAAAATGTTTCCTTTCTCCCATACGCTCATTTTTATTTTGACGTTTAAGTAGCTGTCGTGCTCCTTTTTTGGCAAATACATTAAATTTCAGGTAAATTTTACCTTCATGACTTGAGAAGAAACCCGCACCCTGTCACTTTTTGTCACAGCATAATGTGTGAGTAACGAAATCTTTGATCGAAATTTCTCGAAGATGAAGGAATAGCGGAACTTGGCATGTCTGTGTCATGTGACGATCACATGACAGCACGGAAGATGCACGAACTCTTTTGTTTTCAACATGTTCAACGGAACGATTTTGCAAGTAATCAAAATATTTTTGACGAGAATTGACAGGGATATCTTCAGAAATGTTTGAGATCTCAGACACAAGTTAGTAGGAGGCATTTTGGGGGTACATGGAGTTGATATTTTAGGTTTTCCAAATGATTTGCAACATCTTTTTATTTGTTTTTTAACAGCCAAAAATGATTTTAACTTCGTAACAACTGGAGAACGAAATGTTACATTGTTATACCAGATTATGACGGCACCTTTATTCTCAATTAAAATGAATATCATTTGGAGATTTATCCGATATCATAATTTACCTTTCTGTTGATAGGTTAGTTAGAAAATAAAAGATTTATTTGTTCTGCCAGTGGTATGAAATGTCATATGAAACAGGTCATCAAAAACGTCATATTAAATACCAAAAAAACTGTGAGAAACGATGAGGTTTCTCCCTTGCAATTATTGTGTAAATCAACATTTTTTAATGTAAATAAATTTAATGTAATCAACACATATTAATTGATTTATACACATGAAAATTAAATGGGAAAGTGAAACTGGTCTTGTTTTAAATGGTCATGATAATTGTGATGTCCCTGAAATACACATTGGCCCCCATATTAAAAGAAAGACCCACATACATGTACATGTACCAAAACTCACATTTTGCTCTTGATTTTCTTCTTTCGATGACACTTTGCTTCGTAGTATGACAAAAGGGCCCGTGTTTTCTGCAGCTCAGCTCGGCGCTCTTGAGCCTTTGTAGTCAAAAGCAATGGAAAACAAGAAAACATGTTTAATCACCCCAACCCCCAACGGTGTATGTTAAAATCACATTGAAATCACAATTGGAGGACTGAGGATGGTTCAGGTTAAAAAAAATGCCCCATCAATCCCGTGCCTTATGAGTTTTCTTCGTGATCGTCTATAAAAAATTGTCTCCACTGGGAAAACCATCTCCTTTGATTTAACCCTACCCGCCAAGTATATTGTTTGGCTTACAGTACTCAGTACTACAAAATACTAAGTAATAGCCTGAGCCTGAAGGACCTAGTGCTACAGATTACTCCTTCTGGCAAGGTTACCTCCATTGTTACTTGTACAGAAAACAATAAAGCCATGCATTCATAGTGCCACAGCACTGTGTGGTACAATGTCTTTTCTATTGTATTTTATGGCTTCAGAGAACAATGCGGTCATGTCCTCTTACAAGCGACAGCACTAACTACTACATTTTACTACCAGTAGTCATTTGTAGTATTATGTAGGGTTAGGGTTAATATTGATAACTTTGGCCTTTGCTATCAAAAACAATAGAGTTCTATAAGGGCCGCCAAGACCAAACCACATACCAACTTTGAAGTTAATATGCCACATCCTCCTTAAGTCATGGTGGGTGAACTTATTACTTGCAAGCACACACTCTTGTGTATAGACACTTTCGTCGTCTTAGGCAAGTCCACACAATCTCCGCACTACCTGTGCTTGTGCGGACATCTTTTGTATTCAGGTCAACACAATGAATAGAAACCTTGTACACATGCACACACATTATGCTACTTACCTTGTGTGGACATTCCTTTGGTGTAATGAAGTTATGAAATCTCTATGGAAATATTTCTGGCACTGAGAACAACCTTGTAATATGGTTAAGCTGGGTTTTTATTGGTTTTGTTGAATATTCCCCTACCTTTTGCTACAGATACATGTAACCCCAACTCAGAAATGCCTCTTAAACTTTAATTACGGGTTTTGCCCTCACCCGATGTATATATATAAACACTGTATACTCAGACCTTGCCAAAAACCCCACAGGCTTAATCAAAGGCAAAACCGTAATTAAATCAACATCTCCCTGATGCTAAGAACATCTTGAAATATCTTAAACTAGTTTTAGGAATGGGATAGCCTGGTGTGCACCTGCCTTAGTCCACACAAGGTTCTTATAACCAACAGATATGTAGACCTCTTTGCTTCATGGGTCCACACTAAGTATGTAATGCTGGCACAACACAGCTGGTATGACTGCCTGCTACAGTATGTTTACATGTACATGTATATTAACCACTTCCTGCCGGGGACTCTGGAATTGGAGATGTATGGTCTATATGCGCGGCCGGAGTCTCCGAACTCGGAAAAGGAAACAGGGCCCTGTAACAAAAGACCGTACTCCGAACAAAAGACCAGGCTGCTGGGAATTGTCAACATTTTTCATTCTCAAAAGTGGTGATAATCCAGCCTTGTTTTGAAACCGTATACCAGGGTTTGGAGCATTGAGAGCGAGCGGATTACCATCGGGGACAAAAGCGCTCCACCACTGCAGCGATGAGCCACACAGCACTGCTGCACGCTGATCTGGCCCCTATTGAAAAGAGGTCAGCAGTGCACTGAGCCAGGTTCATGAACAAAAGAAAGTTACATAACACAGCACAATCTGGGCTCTTTTTACAAGGCTGCAGGCCCCGCTGAAATACTCGGGCGTCAATGAAGGTCACCTGTAAACTTAGAGTAGTGCCTAAAGATTACTTTGTGTGGCTATAAACGACCGTTAAATGAAATTATGAATTTTTTGAAGAATTTTGAAAACGGAAAAAAATGATTTTCAAGTTCCATGTTTTGCTTTGTTAGGCAAATCTGCCTGGGATTTGTGATGTTCTTGTGCACAGTGGTTTAAGACCCAGACATTTCAAAAAACTGTTCCCCTTGATATCATGATTTTAATCTGTTCACTAGTATCTAATGAGATAACATTCACCAAAGAAAAATTTGTTTTTTAATAATTCTACCGTATATTCCTTTGAAGTATGCACCTTAGCTTTTTTGAAGAACAAAATGTAAACAAAAACCCTGCTTGTCAAAAACAAAATTATATCTTCAGATGGAAGTCTTTGCATTTTTTGTAGCTTGTTAGACACTCTTTCAGCTGATATAAATTTGCTTTCAAAAAAATTGAATATAGTGTAGAAATTTGCATTTACTTTTTACAGTAAACTATGAAAAGTACCAAACAAGAAAAATATACATCGACATAGGGTTGTTGATGCATTTTTACAATAGGCCATAAACAGCCAGGGCAAACATGTCTAGTTTATTCATAATTTGATTGATTAATTGCCTACAAATATAATCAAGCGGAAAAGTCGCACAATTTGTCATTGTGCCAAAAAATCAATTTAAAAGCCGTTGCTATGCAGGATTTGACGTTATTTCGAGCGCAATGAACAGTGCCCTCTATTGTTGAGACATGTAGGGTATACTGCAAGTGATTGCTGCCGATGACGTCGGGCCTATTGGTGCTCAGTTTCATCGCATTCGCTCGAATGCCATTGACTTCGTTGCAATTGTGTTGACTTTGTGTGCGAAGGTTAGACATAATTTGAGGGTTATAACCAGTGTTGTAGTCGAGTACTTTTTTCCGAGTACCAAGTACTACTGATTCCTTTGACTTCCGAGAACAAAGACTCGGCAAGTACTTTGCCAGCCGAGTCCTAACTTCTAATTCAAAAGTAGTTTTATCTTAATTTAGAGACTCTTAAGACCTGCCATTGAGTAAAAGAAACACCGAATGCAGATGGCATGGCTACAAGAATAAGTGATCTGGCTAGCAATGTCAAGGTCACTACACGTGTGTTGAAGCAGTTGACACAACGTGCACAGCGCGGCGAAGTCTATTTTCCAGACTCAATTATTCACATGCCTATGATTTTCTGTATGCTGGGTTCATTGTTAAAATTTTCGGGTCAAGGAACCAAACTACCTATGTCCAAGTAAATCGCGGAACCATTCGGGAGTACCACAATATAATTTGCGTACGCGCACAGACGGCGTATGGGTCGTATGCCTTTATGGTCCCACGTTCGGCCTTCTCATTGTCAGAACTGTATCGAATATCGGGTCATTGGAGTCGAAATTTTTGTACCTTATTTTAATGGCCATGCGTGGTAAGTTAAATAAAAGGATTTTTTTATCAAGTACTGTTAATCGAGTACGAGTACTTTGATGCTCGAGTACAATTTTTGGATGTCGAGTTCCGAGTATTTTGTAGCCCGCATACAAGAACTGAAGTTCAAGTACGAGTACTTGGACGTCCGAGTACAAGTGCGAGTACTCTGAAAACAGTACTCGAGTAGTACTCGAGTACGAGTACTACAACACTGGTTATAACACAGCTTAAGTGGAATTTAAACTGAAAAGTAGTTGACAGAACTGTAGCCTTTTTGTCAGGGGTGATGTCAATTGTCGATCCCAACAAACACTGGAGGGTAAAGAAATATTTTTTTTGCACTAATTGTTATGTAAACCAGCCAAACGATGACATTTCTACCTGCTTGTGGCTTATCTCGGAGTCAGTGTTGTGTCACGGCCTGGGATATCGGATAAGAGTGTTTTTCAAACTGCATAGCGATTGGCCAAATAGGTCATCTGATTGTGAAATGTTTCAACACATTTTGTGGGGTTTTATTTCTATGGAAATGTTGATTTAAACTTTGACAAAGACTTCTGTGAAATACATAATACTGAAAATAATACTATATGGGTTTTTGGCAGATAAAAATCATGACAGAACACGGCGGCATTACAGGTACCTCCATGGACAGAAATGTGGTTTATTTCAACTTAAAATGGAAGATAATTTTTAAAAAATGAAAACGAAAACCTTGGGTTTAACAAAAGAGGCCAATTTTATTGAGATAGTGAGCAAAATACATACATAATTAATTCCACAACCTGACCTTGAAGGTTCAGAACACACTGAGGGAACAGTCACCCAATGAACATTACTTCTTTTGGAATAATTGAAACACATGATTGAATGGGAAAGAGAGTCACTGAGAAAAGGTAATTTCTTAACTTGTTAAGATTATTTCATATTTCCAATCACTAAAATGTCTAATGAAAGAGGGACCAAGACCAAGTGAGGAACTTGCTTTATTGATATCATACCTCTCAAATGAAGAAAAAAATCATTGTCATTTTATTTTAAAATGCAATAAATTCAAAGGACATTAAGTGAAAGTAAAATGAAGTCACACGATTTCTTTTCATCATTCCCCCTTTCCTTTCCTGTTATGATGCAATGAAATACAAATGCATAATGATCTCACTTCCAAACTGAGGTGATCATCTCTTAAAAATGATCACAGATTTTTCCCAAACTACTGTAGCCAAGGGGCGTGTGCGTGTTCTTTCCAGAATTTTTAATAACTGTCAATAGATGGCGCCATCATTCATGAAGATCAATAATAATGCACTTTTGCCAATGCAACCATCGCAAAAATGCCTTCCTGTAGACAAATTGAAAACCTATGAGGACTTTAAATAAGTTCTAAAGACTTGTTAAATTGTTTTAATCACTGTGAGTGAACATAATCTGATAGTATTCACTGATGTCTGGGTAATGGTAGGGTTTTAAACCACTGTGTTGTGATAGCCAATGTTTTATGGAGCCCAGAATCAAAATTTTTTTCAGCAAACACGAGAATGCCATGACTGGGCCAGTTTGATCAAGCCTGCACTATTTGAATGCTTGATGCGGGAATGTCAGCAAGGGATGCAGCTGCACCTTTCCAAGTCAACAAATCAACAATCAGTAGACTCGGACATCATGCAAGAGACACTGGAAGTGTATCATGTTGTCCAAGAGGCAGTAGACTTTGAATGACGGCACCCAATAAAGATCAGTACATCAGTATGCAACAAAAGGCTTCATAATTGATGCTGCAAATGCACAAACTATGGCGAGGGAGACACCCGGATG